GGTACCAAGAAGAGCGGGGGTGGGGGGAGGGACGGAGTGCGGTAGGGGAAGAGGCGGTAGTAGGGTACCGACTCGTCGAACGTGACGTCCTGGGAGGACAGAACACGTCGAGAGGTGGGGTGGTAAAACTGCCACCCAGGGGCGTCGGGGGGGAACCCCAGGAAGACGCAGGGAGAAGCACGAGGGGACAGCTTGTCCGCAGACAGGTCGCGAACAAACGCCCGAGATCCCCAGACCCGGAACGCCGACGCATCGCCAACCTTCCCCGTCCACAGCAGGGCTGGGGAGGTCTCCGGTCGAGAGACCCTGGGGTGGAGGTTGATCTGGTGCGCAGCGTACCTGACCGCAAACGGCCACAGAAAATGGGGAGCAGCCGCATGCATCATGGACGTACGAGCGACGTCCATGACCATGCCAATGCGGCGCTCAGCGATCCCATTCTGCTGTGGTGAGTCCGGAAGCGTGAAGGTCTGACGGATGCCTCGCACACGACAGTAGGCACTCAGGAGGGCAGAGGAGAACTCTCCGCCTCTGTCCGAGTGCAGATGCAAGACAGGGAAGTCAGAGCCAAAGCTTCTGCGAAGCTGAAGACGAGCTGCGCGGATCCAGTCGATCAACACCTGAGTGACCTCACCCTTGCTGCGCAAGGGGAAGACTGTGGTGTAACGCGAGTAGTCGTCAACCACCAGCAGGAAGTAGCGCTCCTGACCCTGTCCACGGACGCGGGCTGGGCCCCACACGTCCATGTGAAGCGTCTGCAACGGGGCCTCTGTCGGAGGAAACTGGGAGGAGTGAGGGGCAGCACGCTGGCGCCCCTCGACACAGGGGACACAGGCAGGGCCAGGGCCCGGAGGAAGGGGAGGGAGGGACCGGGGAAGACCAGACACAAGGACCCGCGAGGCCATGCCTCTGAGCCGAAGCAGAGAGGGGTGGCCAAGGCGGTGGTGCCAGAGGAGGGTCTCGTGAGACAGACGACGACACGAACAAGGGGCAGACTCAGGACCAGACCTGGACGCTGCAGCAAACACCTGACCAGACGAAGGGGCCCTACCAGACGCAGTACCTGGAGGAGAAGCAGTGGTCAGTGTGTACAGGCTCGACCCCGGCCGACGTGTAAACGTAGCCAGGTGGCGACCTGTATCCGCCTCCGTACAGTGGGTCACCCGCTGACGAGCAGGGGTGAACTGGTGGACACCTGCATCCTGGAGGTCAGCACCACTCACCAAGTTCGTCGAGAACGAGGGGAGGTAGAGACCAGTCAGGGTGCCAGAGGGGGCCGCCGGACACGGGAGGACAGTGGAGAAGCGAGACAGGACAGGCCCCCCAGAGGGGTCCGCCAGGGACACCGCAACAGGCCGACTAAGCGGCGTGAGAGTGGTGCGGTCCCTAAAGAAGGAGCGAGACGCTCCAGAGTCAAGGGTGAAGGTGTGAGAGGCCGAAGCCGACACAGTACCTGAGAGGGCGGACTCACCAGTACCTGAAAGCACAGACGCACTGGCACCTAGAGCAGCAGCCTCACTAGTACCTGACGCGGCAGTACCAATGCCCGGGTCGGGCGGGAAACACCGGTAACAGTCATCCTCATCACTACCAGTCACAGCATACATAGCAGAGAGAATAGCATCAAAATCAAGATCATAAATAGCTACACCAGCCCTAGACAGCTCTCCCCAGCGGGGGATCTCAGCGGCCTCCGGAAACTGCTGACGCCAGGCGTCGGTCAGGCGGCCAAAGCAGCGACGGGCTGTGTGGGCGCCTCCACACCTCTCCCCTGCACGGTCACCAGTGCGAAGAACGTAGGGGCAGGGACCAAGCGCACCACCGCGCTGACGCTGCAAGTACCACTCACGGAGCTGCTGAGGGCCGGGGACGGTGCGAGAGCGCTGCTGCTGCTGCGGCTGCTGCTGCGGCTGCTGCTGCTGCTGCTGCTGGCGCTGACCACCCCCAGAGCTGCTCCGCTGGGACGAGCCACTCCGACCCCCTCCTCCACCGCCACCCCCGCCTCCACCGCCACCCCCGTCGCCACCGCCACCTCCCCCACCAGGACCGTCGCTCCCACCGCTCCCACCGCCTCCTCCGCTACCACCTCCGCCGCCACCTCCGCCTCCACCGCCGCCACTACTACCTCCACTCCCGCCACCACCCCCCCCGCCACCCCCCACTCCCCCCTCCACCCCCACCGCCTCCTCCACCGCCCCCTCTGGCTCCACCCGCTCCCTTGCCCCCCTTGCCCTTGCCAGTGCGGCGTCTGCCACTGGGGGCAGACGCCGCGCCGACCGACTCAAAACCAACGAGGTCGGCCGCAGCGGCAGAGGCGACAGAGGGCAGCAGGGGGGAGGGACCACACCCCTCAAAGATGGGGGTGCGAGGGTCACCCCGAGAGGCCCCTACAGCGACAATACTCTTCTCAGCCGCTAGCAGGGACTCCTCAAGGAGGTCGACAGTGAGAGTGGTGGGACAGACAGAGAGAAAACTGGTCCCTAACGACACGAAGGGACTCAGGGAGACGGGTGACGAGAAAGTAGAGAGTGATGTACATGGGAGGAGGGTTCGCAGCACGGAACTCAGCAGGAAGGGCAGCGCGGTAGCGGGTGTCACTAGCGCGGAGGTGGGTAACGAGGTCAGCGACAGTGGGAAAGGAAGCGAGGTCAGGGAAGAGAAACGGTAGCATGAGGCGGCTAAGGGTAGCGGAGGAAGGGGAGGAGTAGCGCGCAACTACAGCGTCGTACAAGGCCTGAGTGGTCTTGCACTGACTAAAGTGGGCACGCTCAGAGGAAGGGAGGTGGCGACGCACAGCAAGACGTGCAGCAGCATCGCGGGTCGCCCACTTGGAGCGAACGGCAGAGTCAGCATCAGCAGGCGGGGCAGGGACAGCGCCAGAGACAAAGTCAAAGAGAGAGACCTCATCTACCGCATCACACAGTAAGTACAGCTGCAGGTCCTCGATCCAGACGGCAAAGTCAATGGCCCTCCCCTCAGCGTCAAAAGTGAGAACATTGGGGGTGGCCATGGCAGCAGCTGAAAGTCTCACCGGGATGGGAGAGTCGGGTAGGTCAGCAGCAGGCGGCTCGGGCTGCTCGGGCGGCTCGGGCGGCTCGGGCGGCTCGGGCGTCTCGGGTACCGGGCGGCTCGGCTGCTGCTGGGCGGCTCGGCTGCTGCTGGGCGGTTCGGCTGCTGCTGGGCGGCTCGGCTGCTGCTGGGCGGCTCGGCTGCGGCTGGGCGGCTCGGCTGCTGCTGGGCGGCTCGGCGGGGCCGTCAGGGTGCAGCTGCGGGGCCGGGACAGGGGACGGCGGAGCCGTCAGGTGGCGGGCCAGCAGGCGAGGTGGCGAGCCGTCAGGTGAGGCGGCGGGGCCGTCAGGTCAGGTGGCGGGCCAGCAGGTGAGGCGGCGGGGCCGTCAGGTCAGGTGGCGGGCCAGCGGGTGAGGCGGCGGGCCGTCAGGTGAGGTGGCGGGCCAGCAGGTTAGGCGGCGGGCCGTCAGGTGAGGCGGCGGGGGCCGTCAGGTTAGGTGGCGGGCCAGTAGGTGAGGCGGCGGGCCGTCAGGTGAGGCGGCGGGGCCGTCAGGTAAGGTGGCGGCGGGCCGTCAGGTGAGGCGGCGGGGCCGTCAGGTAAGGTGGCGGGCCAGCAGGTGAGACGGTGGGCCGTCAGGTGAGGCGGGGGGGCCGTCTGGTGAGGTGGCGGGCCAGAAGTCGAGGCGGCGGGCCGTCAGGTGAGGCGGCGGCCGTCAGGTAAGGCGGCTGCGGGGCCGACAGAGGTGCAGCGGGGGGGGGCCTGCTGCAGCGACGAAGAGGCCGCGCGGCCGTCTTGAGGGCGGCGCGGCGCGGCAGAGCCGAGAGGGCGGCGCGGCGCGGCTGTAAGGGCCGCGCGAAGTGGGGCCTGAACCGCGCGCGCGAAAAAAAAAATTGAGTCGCGCGCGCGACTCTCGGGGCGCCACAAGGGCAGCTCGACGCGCACTAGGGGGAGCGCTCCTCGGGGAGAATAGGGCGCGCTCCGGGCAGGAAAAAAAAAAAAAAAAAAAAATCGTGGGTGGGCCCAAAGAACGGTCCTTAGGAGGGACCCGCTCTATACCATGTGAAACTAACTGAACAGGAATGAATTGACTAAGTCAGAGTTGGGTACAAATACAACCCTAGCAAACTGTACCCCATATGTGCTACCCCACTATAGCCTACAAACATGCATCAGCTATAATAATCTGACAGCCTCGCTTACGAGTGCCTCATTCAGGATTTGTAAATCCTTACACTCATTGCACCCAGGCCCTCAGATTCACTTTTAGGGTTGTCAACCCATCAGGGCCCCCCTGTGTGTAAACTCTGATTGACAGTGTTCCAAAAAAAAAAAGCCTGAAATGTCAGTGTTGCGTTTGTAAAAAGTCTGATGCATCAGTGTAGCACTAGTAAAAAGGCTGTCACTAACGCGTCGCATGTGATGGCAACGGGGCAGGATCCTTGGCAGCCCTCTAGCACCACATGGTGGCCACGTTCGGATTGGCCAAGACTGACTGCTGCAGCGAAACGGCCCAATGGTGTGAGGCGCCGCGCCAACAAGACACCTCTGAACGTGAACCAGAGGCAGAATTTCACAGGTTGGCCTCGCCACAGGGTGCTTACACCTCGGGAATCTGAGATTCCCTGTAATTGATGTCAAATCCACATGGCACAGGTAAGAATCGTTTCAGTGTTGTTTTCGTTACAACGTTGTGGCATCAGTGTCCTAGGGGAAAAAAGTCTGAAATTTCAGTGTGGCCTAACAAAAAAGGCTGAAAGATCAGTCCCTAAAAAATCTCAACACTGACTTTTCAGGGTAGGTAAAAAAAGGACTGCCAAAATCAGGAATTTCAGGGTTTTTTTCCTGATATATGAGGCCCTGATTGCACCCGTAACAACAACTCAGAATAATGTTACACCCCACCAGCTGTCATACCGTCCAGCCACATTACGCAGGCACGGCCCCTTCACTCAATACGGCCTTCTCAGTTAAAGAAATAAAACGACGCACCATGCCGATTCCCCTCGTGGACTTGCCTCGCCTCACACGATCGCTAACCGCCTCCGCTCTCGGCCGCGCTTTAGCCCCACATTTCATTTCCTTCAGCCACCGCCCGGGCCTCTGCTGCCGCCGTTTCTTCCCCTGGCGCCGCAGCTAGTTCGGCTGCCGCTCCGCACCTCGCTGCTTCCTGTCCTCCGCTCCTACCTCGCCGTTCGCCATTCGCCGCCCGTCGTGAGTCGCTGCCTGCCGCCGCCGACAGCCGGGATTCCCTCCTCGCCCCCCCACCCCCCCTCCCCCCCGAGAACCGCAGCCCGACGCTCGCTGTCGCGAGGGGAGCCACCATCGCGCGATCGTCGCTCGTCGCTCGCCCCATCACGGCCTCGCCTTTCCTCACATATTCCGCTGCTCCTGATGCCGCCGTCACCGCCGGCGTGCGAAGATCTATTCGGGCCCGACAACGACGAGTACGCGCGCACGACGCCCTTCAGCGCCATCACACCCGCGGAAATCCCCTCCCCTCCTCCTCCCGATTATTCCGCGCATGAACGCGGAAACCAGGGGGGAGCATACGGGAGTGCAGGCGGGGGCTTCGGCAGGCGGGGGAGAGGCGGGCGCGGGCGGTGGGGCAGAGGCGGAAGCGAGTGGGAGGATCGCGGGCAGGGGTATGGCGGGAGGGGGCGGCACTGGGCCGGCGGAGGGGACTACGGGGGAAGAGGTGGCGGACATGGGGGAGGCGGGCGGTGGGGAGGCGGCGGAGGGGGGAGAGGCTGGGGAGACGACTTCGGGCGGGGGGCTGGCCTGGGCGGACCTAGAGGGGGGGGACATGGGGGAGGGCGGGGGGGCGGAAGGTTCGGGAGGGGAATGGGGGCAATGGGGGGCGCGCACATGGGGGGGGCGCGGCAGCACGTGGGGCCGGCGTTCCAGGTGGTGCCGTGCAGCCTGCCCCACGTGGTGTCGGTGGCCGTGCTGGGCGCGTGTGGGCACCACGACGCGGCGCTCAAGGCGGCGAAGCTGCCGACGCTGCAGAAGCCCACGGCGCTGTGGGGCTTCAGCCGCCTGGCGGACGGCTCCGTGTGGAGCGACGAGCGCTGCTTGCGCCGCCTGCGCCCCGCCATTCTCGGCAAGGAGGGGCCGGGCGGGTGGGGGGCGGTGGACCTGAACGAGGGGTTCGAGGGGTTTGTGGAGAAGCGGGATGGTGGAGAGGCGCACGAGGGAGGCGGCGGAAAGGGGGAGGAGGGCGACGCGGGTGGTGATGGGGCTGGCAGTGGCAGTGGCAGTGGCAGTGGCGGTGGCGGAGGTGGTGGTGGTGAGGGCGAGAGTGGGTTTGCGGATGTGCTGGTGGGCATGCGGTGGGTGCTGAAGAAGCAGGTGGCAGCGCTGCAGCCCGGCATGGCGCCGGACCGGCTGCACTTCGTGACGTTCCGCAACAACCTCAACAAGCTCATGGGCGTGTGCTACAACCGCCACGACGCGTGGCAGATGGGCGTGCACAAGCGCCTGGGGTCCGTGTACCTGCACGTGCACAGGCCGCCGGGCGAGCAGCAGCACAAGTCGGAGCAGCAGCGCCGCTTTGAGTTCTACGGGTACGCGTTCGAGCACGCTGCGACGGAGCCAAGGAAAACTGGCCTGGGGGAAGGTGGAGGGGAGGAGAGCACAGTGATAGACGCTAACGAGGAGTTCTGCGCGGTGATGAAGACGAAGCTGGGAGCGCATCGCGTGCTGATGGGGGCGGAGATGGACTGCTACGAGTGGGTGAACGTGCCACAGCCCAACAACGCGGCGCCCAGGCCCGAGAGGATCTTCGTGGAGCTCAAGACCAGCCTGCTGCCGGAGAGCGAGGGGCAGCGCGAGCGGTTTGAGCGCGACAAGCTGCTGCGGTGGTGGATCCAGTCGTTCGTGGGCGGCGTGGGCGCCATCGTGGTGGGCTTCCGGGACACGCGGGGGCGCCTGGTGAAGGTGGAGCGGTGGAGCCTGGGGGAGGTCACGAGGCGCGTGAAGGGCAAGGACTACTGGGAAGCGGGGTCGGTGCTGACGTTCACGGACCAGGTGCTGACATGGCTGTACGGCAGCGCCCAGGAGGGCGGCGACTATGTGCTGCGGTTCGTGCCGGGGCAGAGCCGGCTGGAACTGGCTGCTGCTGATGGCTGCCCCGCGTTCATTGAGAAGCACTGCCAGGAGCTGGCCGCCATGGGCATCACTTAATGCCACGTGGTCACATGGGCATCACATGATGAGCACCCACTTACCTCCAACCACCTGCCTCCACCCACCTGCCTCCACCCACCTGCCTCCACCCACCTGCCTCCACCCACCTGCCTCCACCCACCTGCCTCCACCCACCTGCCTCCACCCACCTGCCTCCACCCACCTGCCTCCACCCACCTGCCTCCACCCACCTGCCTCCACCCACCTGCCTGTACCCCCGACCAGTCCACAAAATTGAAGGATAAAATGCCCTGATTGTCCTTGCTATGGGCCGCTTTTTATAGATTCCCCTGATTTTGAAAGTGTGTTCGTTCTACTTGTCGAGAGGACAATTTGTTGACCAGTAAGGCGAAGGGTACACGTCGGAGTGTCTAAATGAGAGTCGTACCGTATTACCCCGGACATACCACCCTAGGGTGCTATGATAACTACCGTACACAAAAAAAAGGGGGGGGGGGGGGTCTTGTCATCGGAAAAAGCTACATTGCACCCGGGTCGTTACATAATGTATATTTTTTTTAGAGCACAAAAGGTTGAGAACAAAATGTACATGTTTGACGCGGTGGTAGATTGTTGGTTGGGTGCGCAAAACCGAGGACTGGGCGATAACGTTAGTCTCGTGGGTTAGCTGCCACATTGTGTTGGGAATATAAACGCATGACTTAGTGCGTTTCTGTAGTATCGAACCTCACCCGATACTGAAGCACAACAAAAGGGGTATGAAGTCGAAAAAGGCGCGTACCACATCAAACCGCAACTGGAGGTTGCGAGCTATAACCGCCTGGAGGTTACGTAACAGCAAGCGACGCTTGAGTGAACAGTAACCACCTCGATAGTCGAAGCGTTACGCGTCTCGATAAACATAACCGCTTCCTGTAATCTATCTTTCCTATATATTCTTGTATGCTCTTTGCTTTAATCAATTACTTGTTCTCACATACCAGCACAAGTACATTCACTCAAAGGACTTCCGCTGTGCTACTCTAGCACCTACTAGCCTATTCTCTGCAAAGATCCTAAGGCTGAAATCCTCAGCCCAACATGGTATGAGAGCAGTCAGAGAACAAAGGCTCTCGTCACTAAGCCTCTTCCAGGCTACCGATCTGCAAGCAACCAAGAAGTTCAATCTTCATTCAAGAAAGACAAGACATGGCAAGTGGCAAAGAAAGAAGATCATCTACGGGATCTACTCTACCCCCCGTCTCCGAGTTGCAGACCGAAGGAGGAACAACGCCCGGATTAACGCCGGAAGCGACGGAACGTTCTACTCAAGCGCCAGTAGCGCCGCCAACAATCTTCAACCCAAGCTATATGGAGGAGTTCTTCAACTTCATGTCGCAGCAGCAGTCCTCACAACCTGCAAACAGCAACAGCGTAAACAACGGAGCGGCACCAATGAGTATTGACAACTCATCGTTCGGACGACATAATCAACAAACACCAAATTCGGTCTCACCTGGTTCCTTCACGTTCATGCCGCCTCGCCATCCAGCGACCCCTCTTCCCGCCATCAAACGAGACACCGAAGAAGTCCTGCAAGTACAAGCATAGTTCAACAACATCCTGCGACTGCACACATCCACACCATTCAACGGGAAGGACTTCTACTCTTGGAGCTTCGAGTTTGAACTCCTGATGGAAGGCGCGAATCTTCTTGGATTCTTCAACGGTACCTGGCCATATCCACACAACGGCGAAGACAAAGACAAAGAAAATCATACGTATCACTCCCTGATGGCTTACACCGTTCTTCTTCGAAACCTGTCGCCGAACGAACAACAAAGCATCCGCGCCTACCGGAACTACGCAAACTCTGCGGAACTCGCCTATCAACATCTGCGAAGCATTCATCAAGCATCCGACAGCGTTACACAAAGCCGACTCATGGCACAACTGACAACAGTTCAAATGCAACCTGGAGAAAAGGCCATGCCTTACATCAGTCGCTGTCAAGGACTACGCGACAGACTTATTCGCTGTGGAGGAAACTTATCTGAAGAAGCCTTCGTAACCGTCGTTCTTGCCGGCCTTGGACCTCAATGGCGCACCACCCGTTCACTTCTTCGCGCTCACGGTCGACTCTCCGAAATGCATCTTTGCGCCGAACTTCACGCCGAGCAGCAGGAAATGGACCTGTTCGAAGAACGCAACAACAAAAGGCATCATCAACCAGTCGTTCTTTACACCAACCGACGACAGCCACGTTACCAAAATCGAGGACACGTACCTCCTTATTGTCATCTGTGTCGAACTTCAGGACACACACGCTTCAACTGCCCTCAGCAACAACGACAACCAGCACCATTCTCTCGTCCTCTGCGACCCGCGCCTCCCCACATCGCGTCAACTCAACAACGACCCGCTACCGCCTCAACGACTACTTCAACGCGACCGTCAACTTCCACTTCGGGACCTGCACAGACATCAAGAATCGTCGCCATGGCACGAACAACACAGTCAAACATCGACTCGTGTATTACCGACTCACCACCGACTTACAGTCCTGATGAGCAACCGTCACCACCACCGTCGTCTCTTAACGTGAATCCAACGTACGCCGCCATCGCGAACAGTGCACCCACCGGACCAGACACATGGTTCCTCGACAGCTGTTGCGGTCATCACATGTGCTCTTCATCACGATTTCTTCAGCGCGAACGACGTCTTCCGCGAGACGTCATCATCACCGTCGCCAACAACGAAAACCTGCGCACCAACAAACAAGGAGTCGTGGAGCTTCAGTCAAACGAAACAAACGTTATCCTTCAACTAAACAAAGTCCTCGTCGTCGACAACCTCGGCTTCAACTTACTGAGCGTCAGCCAACTCATGTCGAAAGGCATTCACCTGGAGTGTGACTCCGACGCCCGGGAAATCCGTCTTCACCACGGAAAAGGGGGGGTCTTCATCGGCCGCGCAATCCAACAAGATGACGTGTTCGTCCTCGATTTCGTCCCCGACAAAGGCACCGCAGACAGCGACGGCATAGTCGCTCTCGCACCTTGGACACATCCGCCAGACCTCGACTCGAACTTCAGTCCTGAAGGCTTCTGGTACTCTCGTACCATTCCCGAAGCTGAACGCACCAACGCGCTTGCCGTCCTGCAAACACAGGCAACAACACCTGAGTCAGCACTCGTCATCGAAACAACAACTGCACCCGTCACAGCACCAACAACCACCGAACCTGCAGTTGAAGAACCAACCGTCGTCGCGGAACAACCTTCCGAAACTCCACAGCCCGGTCCCTCCGTCACGCCACCACCTCTCATCATCGACATGCCACCGACAGCCGCCCAACAGTTAACACCAGTACCACGCGCCGTTCATCGAAGTGCAGCAACACACGCCGCCTTCTTCGCCAACGCAGACTTCTATCAATGCTCCGTCGGTCACAGCGCCTCCGAAGACATCTGGCATCAACGTCTCGGACATCCTGGAAACAAAACACTTTACAACACAATACGAGCCGGAGTGTTAGACAAGAACGCCCTACTTCTTCCCAACGGACGTGAACTCGAACGACCACGCGGCACCTGCTTCATCTGCCCGGAAGCAGATCTGCCTCACCAACCGTTCCCGTCACACCACAATCCGAGCGCCCCCGTTTATCAACTACTCGAGAAAGTCTACAGCGACATACTATACATACCTCGAACTGAAGGACGTGAAGATCTGAACTACGTCATCACCTTCATCGACGCCGCAACGCGATATGTCTGGCACGTCAACTTACCGTCACGAGACATGGCTCTAGAAGCCTTCACAGCCTGGCTACCTGTCGCTGAAAGAAACTCGGGAGTAAAACTGAAGAGTTTTCAGTCAGATGGCGCGATGGAATACCAGTCACATTGCTTCAAACAGTTCTTGGCAGAAAGAGGCATCAAACGCCTCATCTCTCTTCCTTACGCTCACCAACAGCAGGGTGTGGCAGAAAGGATGAACAGGACCCTGCAGACAACCATGCGAAAGCTGCTACGTGGAACTCGACTGCCCAACTCAGAATGGCCAGCAGCGATGGACCACGCTGTCCTCCTGCACAACTTGCTGTCCTCGTCTTCACTGCCCAACAACGCATCTCCGCACCTGTTGTGGACTGGGAAGCTGGGCAACAAAAAAATGTTACGAGTTTTTAGGTGTATGGTACAGTACCGCCCACACACTGCACGCGCAGGGAGATTTTCGCAACGTGCACAGTGGGGTCTACACCTCGGGCTGGCAAAACATTACGAAGCCTGGCGAATCTTCGACGTCCACACAAAGGAAACAGTAGCAGCACGTGACGTTATCTTCTACGAGCGACTCACCCTCAACCATTACCTGGACAACATCGCACGCCACGTTGACCCCACCGGCAGATTTTCTGGTTCCCGAGCCTTCGCTTCACCCTCCGACGCTGCTGACTGGGAAGAAGAAAACGTCGACGGCGCCTCCGAAGCTGCTGGACCCCTTCCCTACTGCTCCGTCCCAATCCCCATGGACGAGGAAAATCCTCGCGACAGCAACAATGCCGACGTCTACTACCATTTCGCCGACACTGGTTACGTAACACCCCAACCCGTCAACACCGACATCTCTGAACGATACGGCCCCGGATTCGCACCTGATCCTGAAGCGGGAGACGAAGCAGTCTATCCCGAGGATCCCTTGCTAAACCGTCACACCCCGAGCGGACTCCAAGTCCTGGGACTCGTCGCTGCAGTGCACGGGCCTTCGTCGCCACCTGAAGAGCCTTGCTCTGTCAAGCAGGCTCTGGGGGGGGAACACAAAGAAAAATGGCGCGAAGCCATGGAAAAGGAGTTAAAAGCGCTTTCAGACCGCAACACCTGGAAGGTCGTCCCTGCATCACTCGCACAAGACAGACCCATTCTCTCCGGAAAATGGGTATTCCGGATCAAAACCAACTCCGACGGAACCATCGAACGATTTAAAGCTCGATGGGTCGTCCGCGGATTCGACCAAGAGTATGGTCGCGACTTCACTGAAACTTTTGCACC